TTTTTTTTTTTTCTTTTTAAGTCAAGCGGAAAGACAAAGTGAAAAGAAACCAGAGTCAGGGAAACTGCCAACCTAGTCTGGCCATAAGGATTTCCTTTAGTCTGTCTAGGTTCCCCGCGGGAGCAGGGACTGGTTGGGAAGAAAACCAATGTCTTGAACTTTAAGGCAGATTTTAATTACTATTGCCCGGTGACAGGAACCTGGGAAGAGGTCAAGGTGTGGTTAGGCAAAGGCGGCTCCCGGGAAAGGCACTAGGAACGGCAGGACAGAGAACTGCAGGAGAAAGCGACAGAAAGGAGGAGGAGAATGCACCGGCACCCCAAGGTGATGGAGTAGAAAAACTCTCCGCCGGGGGAGCCGCGCGCCGCTCAGGTGGCCCTTTCCCGCTCAGGTGAGCTCCTCCCGCGCCTCCCATTGGCCAAGGCGTCCGTGGCGCTGGGAGGGCGACGCAGCCCGGTCTAGTTCAGGGTCTAGGGCGGCGCGTCACTTCCGGTAGCGCGGAGCTTGTAAAACACCCTGGAGAGAAAATGGCGGCGGCAGCGGCTTCGGCGCCTCAGCAGCTCTCGGATGAGGAGCTTTTCTCTCAGCTCCGCCGTTACGGCCTGTCTCCTGGCCCAGTGACGGAGAGCACCCGCCCGGTCTACCTCAAGAAGCTGAAGAAGCTTCGAGAGGAAGAGCAGCAGCAGCACCGGTCCGGGGGCCGCGGCAACAAGACGCGGAACAGTAATAACAATAACACGGCTGCTGCCGCGGTCGCCGCGGCGGGAGCGCCGGCGGCGGCCGCGGGGCTGGGGGGCCGGCCGGTCTCTGGCGACCTCTCCTACTTGCGGACTCCTGGGGGTCTGGGCCGAATCTCGGCCTCTGGCCCGGAGAGCCCCGTGGGAGGGCCCGGGGGCGCCTCGGCCGCCCCCACGGCTGGCAGCAAAGTGCTGCTGGGCTTCAGCTCGGACGAGTCGGACGTGGAGGCCAGTCCCCGGGACCAGGCCGGCGGCGGCGGCGGCGGCGGCGGGAGGAAAGACCGGGCTTCGCTCCAGTACCGCGGGCTCAAACCGCCGTCGGCGCCCCTGGCCGCCAGCGAGGTGACTAACAGCAACTCGGCCGAGAGAAGGAAGCCCCACTCGTGGTGGGGGGCCCGGCGGCCGGCGGCTCCGGAGCTGCAGACCCCGTCGGCGAGAGATGCAGCCGCGGAGGACGAGGAGGAGGAGGGGGAAGACGGAGAGGACAGGGACCCAGAGGCCGAGGAGCCGCTGTGGGCGAGCCGGACGGTGAATGGCAGCCGGCTTCTCCCTTACAGCTGCCGGGAGAACTATTCGGACTCGGAGGAAGAGGAGGACGACGACGTGGCCTCCAGCAGACAGGTATTAAAGGACGACTCCCTTTCCCGGCATCGGCCCAGACGGAGCCATAGTAAGCCTCTCTCTTCACTGACTGCTAAATCGGCCGGCGGCCGGCTGGAGACCTCAGTTCAGGGAGGGGGAGGAATCCCGATGAATGACAGGGCGGCGGCTGCGGGGAGTCTAGACTGGAGCCGAAACCTCGAAGAGTCGGCGGCGGCGGCGGAGCAGGGAGGAGGGTGTGATCCCCTGGACTCTAGCCCCATTCCTAGGTACCGTGTCACCGCTAAGAAACTGGCCCCTCTCCTGCCCCCGCCACTGACCGACATGGACTCAACCTTGGATTCGTCCACAGGCTCCCTCCTTAAAACCAATAATCATATCGGCGGCGGGGCCTTCAGTGTGGACTCCCCCAGGATTTTTTCCAACAGCCTTCCTCCCGGTGCAGCGGTGGCTGCCTCCAGTTCACTCAGGATCAATCACTCCAATCATACGGGCTCCAATCACACCTACCTGAAAAACGCATACAACAAACCGAAGCTTTCCGAACCCGAGGAGGAACTTCTCCAGCAGTTTAAACGGGAGGAGGTGTCCCCTACAGGGGGTTTCAGTGCCCACTACTTGTCGATGTTTCTCTTAACTGCTGCCTGCTTATTTTTCCTAATACTGGGACTGACTTACCTAGGAATGAGAGGGACAGGAGTATCCGAGGATGGAGGACTCAGCAGTAAGTATTAAACCCTGTGGGTAAGGTCACAAAGGGGGTGTTGCTAGTGGTCTGCCCTCACCGCATTGGGCATTTTGCACGAGGTGACTTCTGCCTTTAAGAACATGTATTAATAGCGACACGCGGCAGATCGAGTGCATTTGTGTCATCTCTAAGAAAGGACGTTACCATGATCAGAACGAGAATCCCACGACTGGTTTTACAATTTTTCTGTATAATGTAGTGGGAAATTCAACACCTCTCGTAAAACGAAATATTGCCAGCTTGTCAGCAAAATGCGTTTATGTGTGGGTCATAAATTCTCTTTTAGCCTTAGATAATTATGTGTGCAGATGCCAATGAACACTTTTGAAGTATTTTGATTGTTACGGGACATCATAAATGCATAAATGTTACAAATCATTTGAGATGATTTTTCAAATTGAGTTGTGATTCTACAAGGTAACGTAAGATCTCTTGAAATTCCAGTTAAATACTTTGTAGTATGAAGTTCTACATCTAGGTAGTTCTATAACTTCTTTAAAGTGAATGAATGTGGAAAGTAGGAAGACACAACTCTAAGTTGATTGCTGAGCCCAGAGCATGCCCCTTCCCACCAGTGAAAAAGGTGGTGGTAGGGCAGGGCTGGAGTTGGCCGTGAGATTTTTCCGTTATTGGTTTCTAGGCCCTGCCGTTTACTTGCTAAAGGACTGTAGGCAGGTATGGTGTGTTCATTCATTCATTAAGCCAGCTTCATCTATGCTGAGCACTTAAACACAGCAGTGATAAGTCAGAGCATCTGTTCTTCAACACAAGAAGATAAGTACAGATCATTTTGTGTTCTGCGAAGGAAATAAGGATGGAGTAATTGATACATGCTATTTAGAGATGGGGAGGGTAGCTACTATGTGAGGTGAGACCTGAAGTAGGAGGAGACAGCATTGTAGGGGGACAGGAGAGCTGTCCTGGCAGAGATTATAAGAAAGGCCTTGAGTTGAGCCAGAGCCCTCCTGTAGGTTAGAGTGGTTACAGCACCTTGAGCCAGGGGGGCGAGCCCAAGTTTGAGCTTCCCTTTCCTAATCCTAAAATGATGCTAATGTTGATTAGAATGATGCCTACGCAGATTAAAAGAGGGAAAAGTAAATGTAGTGTGCGGTGGACTGCTGAATATATAATTTCTTAATGTTAGGGCCCCCTTCCCACTCCTCCTGAAATCTGTCCCTTTCATCCAACTTGAAGTCACTTTATCATAATTGGTATTTATAAAATCAGGCTTGCGATTGGGTGTTTGTTTGTTTGTTTCAAAATAGTGAATGATGCAGTTAGCGGATTTAAAAAGAGTAGGAGTCAGAATAGTGTAACCTTTGATTTGTGTATAGCCATTTCTAAGATCATCAAATAACAGATTATTACTATATTGCTTCATTAGAGGGGTTAGAAGAGGACTGAAACCCAGCACTCATTTTAACTGGTTCCCTGGGAGCAAGAGTAATATATTGTCTCCTGTCTCAGATAATTTGGGAGAAAAAGAAATAGGTCATATTAGAAGTTAAACTAATGGAGTGCATATAAATTAAATGACATTATCAGCAGTACCTATTTGTATCTGTTTCTCTAATAGCTAACTGTATGACCTGGCCTTTTTCTGAGTACTTTGTACATATCTAATTGATCTTCCCAACACATCACAGATGCAGATTTTATAGATGAGGACAGTGAGGCAAGGAAGAAATGACTGACTAGCTAGTGAGTGATAGTACTAAGGTTTGGCTTCAGTTTTTTTTAAAATAAATTTTATTTAGTTTTTTAAGTTAATTTATGTATTTTGAGGGAGAGAGAGCATGCATGGGAGGGGCAGAGAGAAAGAGAGAGAATCCCAAGCAGGGATTCTCTGCACCGTCAGCCCAGAGCCTGACACAGGGCTCAAACCCATAAAACGCGAGATCATGACCTGAGCTGCAATCAAGAGTCGGATGCTTAACTGACTGAGCCACCCAGGCGCCCTTCAGATTTTGTTTTCAACTGTAAAGCCCGTATTCTTAGCACTACTTTGGATACTGTTTGTAGAGAGCTTTCTAAATAAGAGAGCACTTTTATTAGGATTGAGAAAAGAATTGAATATTGGTAGGATTTCATAAAGAATTACTGATGAGCACAATTCTCAGTTAAGGTGACTGTCACATCTGTTAAGATGAATGAGTAATGTTTCCTTAGATACTAAAATTTCAGATGGAATAGAAAAGGATAGGACTGCTAGGGTTTCAGTAGCCCCCTCACCTTCACCAGTAAGACAGGAAAGAAATTATAAAGTGTTTTTTGTTTTAATGAATGGTAAATGTAACGTAGTTTGGGTGATGGAAACAACAGTTGATTAAGAGGTAGAGGATCTGGGTTCTAGGACTTGGTCCACATGACTTTAGTCAAGGTCTGTATTAGATGGGTGTAATAATTTCTGTCTGTGGTGATGTTAAGAGGATCAAATTAGATAGTTTATTAAACAACCATAAAGTGGTATTATTCAAAAGTTTAGATAAAATTCGTTGTATTTCTGGTAAATTACAGTATGTATGTAAAGCAAAATTGTTTCTGCAAATATTATTTAGTAGTATATTTACTTATTCAACATGTAATTTTCATTAACTTCCACTAAAATACACTGTAGACATTGATACAGAAATTTGAATCAAAGTTAGGGAATCCTTAAATGTACTATATATGTGTTATAAATTTGACTTACTGTATAATATATAGTGGAAAGAAATGCCTGCTAATTCAGTTAGTTTGCACACCTAACGGTGAATAATTTTCACTCCCTACGTTTATGTGTTCTGAGTCCTTTGTCATGAGTATAATGGTTAACCAAGGCTTAACCATAGGGTTCATTGGTCAAATAGTGTGCTTGAGGAAATACTTTTACTTTGAGTAATAATTTCACCGGAAGATTGTAGGTTATATATGAGAATAAGCTTTAGTAAGCTTTTATTAGCTGTCATTTAAATTATGTACAACATGTAATAGATTAGCCTTTTAAATAGTTCTTAATCATTTGGTCTTTGAAAATTTTTATCAATGTCCTAGTTTTATTAAATCACTTTTATTAATTAAATTACTATGGGTCTCTTCTTCCTCATCTGTAAAATGAGGGGGTTGGATTAGATGATCTCTAAATTCTTTGTAGCTCTAAGGTTTAAGATTCTAACTTTGAACTGTCCTACCAAAACAATTCAAGGATCAGTCTACAGTGAGATTAGATCATGACAACCCAGCAAAGGAAAATGGAAATGCAGAATACACTATCTTAGGTACATATGGGCATTATTTAAAAATTGTTTTCAATTATAAAAGACATGATTTTTGAAACATTTATGATTTAGAAAATTTGGATAGAGATGTATGAAGCAAAAAATGAATAGATAGTAGGTATATATATCCTTCTAGTCTCCCACTTACCCCTGGTATAATAAATAAGTTCAAATAATGCCTTTCAAAACTTTCTTAGTGCTTTTCACGTAAACACCTACATTCATATATATATGTGTTTGTGTACATTTTCATTCAACAATAGAGTGCCTACTATGTGCCAAGCACTATTTTAAGCATTCTAGCGGGGGAAGATGGGCAAGTAAATATGAATTTAAGAGAGTGATGATTGCTAACACAAGTTTATGATAGTAACTTTGCCTGGGGTAGAGGGATATGTAATATTACGTACAGGTGAGCAGGCCTCTCAAAAGAGGTGACGTTTGAATTGAAATCTGAATGACCTGAAGGAACTAGCTGTTGACAGGGAGCAAAACATTCCAGGAAGAAATAACAGCCAGTGCAGGACTCTTGGGGCAAAAACCAGCTTGGCAAGTTGAAGCAACAGAAGAGAATGGCCAGTGTGGCTAGGGTATAATGAATGAGAATGGCATATGATGAAGTCAGAACTAGGCAGGGGCCAGTCATAAAGGACCTAAAGGCCTTGAGGGCCTTGGAAAGGAGTCTGAATTTTATCTTAAGTGATATCATACTATACCTAGCCTGCAACTTGTCTTTTTCCCTTAACCTTGTATTATGGGTAACTATACTAAGTTTAAGTACGAGGCATAATTTAAAAATCTCACTCTCCGCTTGTCCCTTTCTCATCGTATAAAAATGCTAAAATCTCTGCCACCCTGGAAATGTTGTTCTTCAACCCTCTGTTCTTCTCTAGCTGTTACTCTCTTCTCAGCAAAGACTGATATCTTTTTGCCTCTGCCATTGACTCAGCCCCTGTCTAGTGTAGCTTTGTTTACCATCCATTCCTCTGGAATCTCTGCTTCAAGTCATTAGTTAACTCAATTGCCAAATCCAAGAGAGGTGTTGAAGTTCTTATCTTTGCCTCTTTGAAACATTCAGTGCACTGATAACTCCTCCTTCTTGAAACTCTCCCCTTCCCAGACTTCTGCATCACTACTCTCTTCCAGTTTTCATTTACTCCTGTCTGTGTTTTAAATATTGGTGGTCTCTGGAACTCTTGTCTTTGTCCCTATCCTTTGGTACAGTTTCCCTAGGCCCTTTCCTCCACTGGCCTGGGTAGTACCTCCTGATTTTATATATTTACCTTAAATGTTCTCTCCTGAGTTCTAGACTTAACTGTTTGTTTATTGGACAGTTTTGTGGTTTTTTTTTTCCTGGATGTTCCAGAAGTACCCACTCTGTGTACTCATCAGCTTTCCTTTCACCTTCTTTCCCCCATTCTGTTCCCTGTTTTAGTTCATGGCACTTCCGTCTACCCAGGACTCAGCTAGGAACTTTGAATTTACCTAGAGTCCTTCCTTTCCTTCATGTTCCTACCAGACCTCAAACATCAATCCAGTTGATTACTAAGTCCGGTAGTTCTACCTCTTACATATGTTTTGAATCTTTTTCTCTCCATCACTGTTGCGCTAAGTTAGTCTATTGCCTGAACTGTTTAAGTAGTCTTCTAACAGGCTTCTATGTTGTAGCTCTTCAGTCTGTTTTCTGTGCCAGAGCAATATGTCTAAAACACAAATGCA